GTTTCTCCCTCTTACTAAAGAGACAAGAATATGAATGGTACAAGAATGTGAATGTGAATGGGACATGGGATCCTCAATATGGGAACAGAGGTTATGAATGTAGGCTTCCTAGTAGTGCATCTCCTCTTTTTGGCTGGTGATAAAGGACCATGGATTTCAACTTTGCTCCTTGGAGGCCATGTAGACCATGAGGTCTACTACACATTTGCTATAAACATACCCATTGTCATATCAGAAAATGAGCTTGACAAAATGGTCATTGAGGGCAATACTAGTGCCAGCATCAAAGATAGAAGCATGGGTGTTGCTGTTAAAGATACAGGATACCACTTGATCCTCTAACTGAAGATACCCTTCAGGGGGTCCTTCTGATGCTTGATTCACTTCCTGCTTAATATCATCATATTTGGCAGATTTCTCCAGCAGGTCAGATCCACAACAGATGCATTGGGAATAGAAACATGGAAGGTCATGCTTGTGAGCTTCCTATTCAACCCAGGTATGACATTGCCTACAGCCTTAGCAGCACCAGTGGAAGCAGGGATTATGTTTTGGGTAGCACCATGCCTGTAATGCCACAGTTTACTAGAAGGACAATCTACTGTCTTCTTCTGGACAGCAGTAATGGCATGGAATATAGTCATGATTCCCTCCACAATGCCAAAGTTGTCATGAATGACTTTGACCAATGGGGCCAAGCAGTTGGTAATGCAGGAGGCGTTACCGATACTCTTTTTTTTTTTTTTTTTTGGTGAGGCAATTGGCGTTAAGTGATTTGCCCAGAGTCACACACACAGCTAGTGAGTGTTATGTGTCTGAGGCCAGATTTGAACTCAGGTACTCCTGACTCCAGGCCCAGTGCTTTATCCACTGTGCCACCTAGCTACCCCTATTACTGACAGTCTTAATGGAATTATCACATTTTTCATGGTTCACTCCCATCACAAAATTGAGACATTACCAGAAAGGGAGAGATGATGACCCTCTTGGTTCTACCTTTCAAGGGAGCCCCAGCCTTTTCCATGGTGGTAAAGACTCACATGGATTCTACAACATACTCAGCTCCAGCATCTCCCTATTTAATATCGGATGAATCTCACTCTGGGAGATGGTAATTACTTTTCCATTGATCACCAGCTTTCCATTCTCAGCCTTGACAGTGCCCTTAAACTTGCCACGAATGGAATCATATTGAAACAAATAAAACATTTAGTTGAGGTCAATGAAGGGGTCATTGATGGCCATGATGTCTACTCCACCTAAGGTGAATGCAGCCCTGGTCACCAGGCACCCAATATGGCCCAATCTATTGACACCAAACTTCACCATCTTCTTTCAGAGATGCAACTGAAACAGTAGATCCTGGCACCAATCTTGAGAAAAGTCCTCTAAATCACTTTTGATTAGAGAAATGCAAATTAAAACACCTCTGAGGTACCACCTATCAGATTGGCTAACATGACAGAAAAGGAAAATGATAAATGCTATAGAAGATGTAGGAAAATTGGGACACTAATGCATTGTTGGTGGAGTTGTGAACTGATCCAACCATTCTGGAGAGCAATTTGGAATTATGCCCAAAGGGCAACCAAACTGTGCATTCCATTTGATTCAGCAATACTACTAGTAGATCTGTATCCCCAAGAGACCATAGAAAAGTGAAAGGGGCCTACATGTGAAAAAATATTTATAGTAGCCCATTTTGAGGTGGTGAAAAATTGGAAATTGAATTGGGGAATGGATGAACAAGCTGTGGTATATGAATGGAATGGAATCCTGTTGTGCAATAAGAAATGAGGAACATGTGGATTTCAGAAAAACTTGGAAAGATGTACATGAACTGATAGAAAGTGAAATGATATCAGCAACATTGTGTGATGATCAGCTATGAATGATTAAGCTCTTCTCAACAACAGAATAATCAAAGAAAAGTACAAAGGACTCAAGAAAGAAAATGTTATCCATATCCAGACAAAGAACTGACGTACTCTGAATGCAGATCAAAGCATATTTTTTTCACTTACTTTATTCTTTCCCCGATTTTTTTTATTTTGATCCATTTCTTCTTTCACATTTGTGACTAATATGGAAATATTTTTACATGATAGCACATGTATAAACTATATCAAATAGCCTATCATTTTCAGAGATGGGAAGAGGAGGAAGACAAATTTGTAATTCAAAATCTGGTAAAAAATGAAGGCTAAAATTTTTCTTGACATACGGTAACTAGGGGAAAAAATAAAATTCTATTTATATTTTTAAAAAAATACTGAGAAGGGAGAAAGAAACAACAATTAAGTACTTGTTATGTGTTAGGCATTCTGCTAAGTGCTTTACAAATATTATCTCATTTGAACTTCACAACAATCAGGTAATTTATTTGCCAGTATATGCCCATTTTATAAATCAAGAAACTGAGGAATATAGAGGTTAAATGACATTCTCAGGGTCATATAGCTAGTGTTTGAGGCCTGATTTGAACTTGGGTTTTCTAGTGCCACCTCATTGCTTGTTATGGAGTAGACTATGTGTCTGGTAGGGGTATGGAGGTTCTGTGGGCAAAGTCATTTGGGTGCTACATAGTTTTCTTGTTAGCTGTATGACCTGGGGCAAGTCATACAACCTCTCTTACCCTCAGTTTCCTCATCTGTAAAAATGGGAATAATAATATCGAGGAGCAAATGAGAAAATACATGTAAAGTGTTTTGAAAGTCTTGAAATAATATACAAATGCTAGCTATTATTGATGAGGATGATGAAGATGATGTTGATGATGATTATGATGATGATAGCCTAGAAAATTTGGTTGACACTTTCTTAATTACTACAGGGCAGTCAGACAAGGGATAGGTGATATAGGGCTAAGTAAAAAAGAAGAGCAGAACCTCTCAAAAGCAGAAGCCAGTTTTTTTGTTTTGTTTTTGTTTTTGTTTTTGTGTTTTGTGAGTGAAATCACAAAAAATAATGCCTTTTATCTTGAGACATTGAAGGTATGTGAATCAAGAAAGACATTCCTGTGACCTACAAGTGCTTATATATTCATGACTGTAGTGATGATCAATTACATCTATAGCAAACTCAATTCTTTTTTTTCCTGATAGAAGAGAAGGGGTAGTAATATAACACTGGACTCAGTGTCAGGAAGACATGTTTTGGACCTGTGCTTTACATGCCTATTAGCTGTGTGACTGTGGGCAGCTCACTTAATCTCTGTTTCTTTCAACTATAAAATGAGAATAATAAAAGTACCTGCCTGAAAGGTTGTAAGAATTTTAGGTGTTTTCCCTAATTGATAAATAGTCAAAGGATATGAACAGGCAGTTCTCAGATGAAGAAATTAAAGCCATCTATAGTCATATGAAAAAAATGCTCTAAATCAGTATTGATTAAAGAAATGCAAATCAAAACAAATCTGAGGCACCACATCATACCTATCAGATGGGCCAACATGATAAAAGAGGAAAATGATAAATGGTGGAGAAGATGTGGGAAAATTGGAACACTAACGTATTGCTGGTGGAGTTGTGAAATGATCCAACCATTTTGGAGAGCAATTTGGAACTATGCCCAAAGGGCTATAAAAATGTTCATACCCTTTGACCCAGTAATAGCACTTCTAGGGCTGTATCTCAAAAAGATCATAAAAACGGGAACAGGACCCACATATACAAAAGTATTTATAGCATCTCTTTTTGTGGCAAAGAACTGGAAATTGAGGGGATGCCCATCAATTGGGGAATGGCTCAACAAGTTGTGGTTTATGAATATAATGGAATACTATTGTTCTACAAGAAATGATGAGCAGGCAGACTTCAGAAAAACCTGGAAAGACTTGAATGGACTGATGCTGAGTGAAGTGAGCAGAACCAGGAGAACATTGTACATAGTAACAACCACATTGTGCTATGACTAACTTTGATAGATCTGGCCCTTCTCAGCAATACAAGGATCTAAGACATCTCCAAAAGTCTCATGATGGACAATGCTATCCACATCCAAAAACAGAATTATGGAGTTTGAATGCAGATTGGAGTATACTATTTGATATTTTTTTCTTCTGTTTTGTTTTGTTTTCTCTTTCTTGTGGTTCCTTTTAATGGTTTTAATTCTTCCTTACAACATGACTAATGTGAAAATTAACAAAAAAAGAATTCTGCATGTCTATGGGACATCCAAGAAGGTTGTCTAATGTCCTAGTTGACCACGAGGTATTCAACATTGGATCTCAGGGAAGAGATGAGGGATCAACATGTAAATTTGGGTGTCATTGATTTCAAAGAGAAGTTAATTGAATGTAGGAGAGGTGACAAGTTTACCAAAAGAGAGGGTACAAAAAAATGGGAAGAAGGTCCAAAACAAAGCCTAGAACACAGCCAAACATTGTGGATGGGACACAGATGATGATTAAACAAAGGAGGACCTAATTCATAAGGTAATTTCTAAATCCTGTGTTCTGGAGGTGTCCTTAGAAAGTCCCAGATGCTTTTATGGTCATACCTTAATGAAATGCAATTTGTATAGAAAATTCAGTACAATACTGAGTACAAGTAATATTCTGATTCAACATACTTTTCATTGTTGTGGACCCAACTGTTTGCACCATCTTTTCTGGTGAGTCTATAAGCCCATACATAGTTCCTGGATTGATCATATTCAGGGACTTCAACTTCTTTGATTGTTTTACTATTCAGATTATTAGTTTGCCTTCTTTGGCATTTCTAATTCATTCTTTTATGATACTTCCTCTAGAAAGTCCTTGTACTTCCTACTTAAACTAGGCTATTTATATGTCAGCCAAAAGACTGCTTGTTGGAGAGTTCTTAGCGACTCTGAATGTTATCTCCAATGAGAAAAGGGTTTGGGGTGGTTTCTAGTGTGTTTTGTGTGATAACCTATGATGTTTTGCATGTAGACAGGTAGCCGCAGACACCAGTTCAAATGATGCCCTCATTCAACTTAAAGAACATAGGTACCGAACAGGCTGGGCAAACACTTACCACCTCGTTTATTGAGTTTGGCATAGCCTGGAGAATAGCTGCTGGACATGGAAGATGAACTGCTGAAGACAACATGGGGCAATGCTGAGACAAGTTGTTCATCACATTTTTCTGAAAAAAAAATCAATAAAATCATGTAATTTGGGGCATTAACCAACGTTTTAAAATTTAATGTATATTACAATGGGAACAGAACAGTAACATCATCATGGAGTGAGATCTCACTTAACTATTGGTTAGATTCTTACTGAGTCAAAAAAAGTATGTCTAAGAATCTGAAAATAAATGAAAATGTTTCTGAGCAACAAGAAAAACAACTATCATAAAGTGTATTGTTTTGTTGGTTGTTGGGCCAAACATCAGAATTCTTTGTTTTGTAATAAGTTCCATTAATTCCTTTCAAAAATTATAGCTGATTCTTGTTATCCTCAACCCATAATTCGAGTCCTTCACAGTATTAATAATAATAACAAGGCAGAAAAAGGAGGAGGAGAAGGGGAAAGAAAAGAAAAGAAGGGGGAGGAGAAGAAGGAAGGGGGGAAGAGAAAGCAGAGGAGAAGGAGAAGGAAAATCATAACAACATTTATATAACACTTACTATATGCCAAGTACTGTGCTAAGTGCTTTACAATTAATACCTCATTTGATCTTCACAAAAACTCTGGGAGATAGGTGCTACTATTGTCCCCATTTTACTTATAAGGAAACTGAGGCATGCAGAGATTAAGTGACTTGTCCAGGGTCACCCAGCTAGTAAGTGTCTGAGGCCAATTTTGGACTTAGGTCTTCTTGACTTAAGGCATGGTAAGCTATCCACTCACCCCAAGTCCCCCAAAAAAATACAAGGAGAAGAAGAAGAAGAAGAAAAAGAAGAAGAAGTAGAAGAAGAAGAAGAAGAAGAAGAAGAAGAAGAAGAAGAAGAAGAAGAAGAAGAAAGAAGAAGAAGAAACAAAGAAAGAAAAATGCCAAATTGATACAGTGATGTCATCTGACTGGTATACAAACTTTTCTCCCTGCTCCAAAGTCTTCCATTGTACTGAGAGGACAGAATGTAGTTCTTTTCTACTGACTAGAATTCTTCACAAAACTGTTACTGATTAATTATCTTTCCTTATCTTGTTTCTACTGAAAATTCTCAGGTTTTGAAAGGTTATTTACAAAAGACATCACTCCTTGTATTCATATAAGAGTGAAACAAAGTTTAGAACCAAAACTTTGGGGTGGTGAAATGAGGGAGATAAGAGAAAAGGGATACTGCTAGCTGAAATATTAAGAAGTTAAAGCTTCCACTGAGACAATGTATAAATAATATCCATCAGAAAAGCATAGTGGTCTGGGAGAATTCAGTAAAAGAAATGGTTAAACTCTACAAACCTCAATAGCTCCTGATCTGTATTACAGAGTAGAATAGAGCTGTTGATATTTATAATAACAACCTTGAATATTCAAGAAAATGTTAAAGTATGTTTTGTATGCCCTGTTTAATCAGGTGGGGAAGTGTAGTACCTTTTAGAAAGATTTCCAAAATGATAGTTAAATAAAATATTTTTATACAAAAAAAAAGTAGGAAGGGACTATTATTATCCCCATTATATAAATGAAGAAACTGATATTGACAGAGATTAAGTGACTTACTAAGGGTCATACAGCTAATTCATAACTCAGATCTTCCTGACTCCAGGTCTGACACCCTTAGCTACTCTGCCATCCACCTGCCAGAACTGTTCTGTAAAATACTTTTTTCTTCCAGGATATAATCACTTAGTATCTCCCACCTACGTAATGTTAAATATGTCATTTTTTTCCCCCAAAGAAAGTATGACATCAGTGCACGTTTATGTATTTGTGCTTTTAAAATTTCACCATTTTTTTCAAATGAAATGGGTAGACAATTTATTCATTTTCCTACTATCCATCTTAATTTTATGTCTTAAACAGAATCTTTTAATATTTAAGAAGTTTGCTGATATTTGATGTACTTCATGAAAGGATTACATAGAAAAGGCCTTGTCTCCCTTAGCCTCTGTTTGTAGGATTTCTCATTGCTAAACTAGTAGGTAAAAGTGAAAATTCAGAGCACATATCAATTGTTTTGCATTAGGAAGGCACTTTTATATATGTAAACAGTGAGGTTGAAATATTTATTTTAACATTATACACCTGAAGAATCCCAGAGTTCAAGGGAAACTTCTACACAGGGTAAAAATTTGCACACCACAGAGCCTGAATGAAAAGGGGAAAAGTTGAGAAAGATTTTCTAATGACCCAGTTAGACTTTTTCTCTGTTGCTGTATAAACCTAAGTAAAAATAGGACTTCAGGATCAATAAAAAAATAATAATAATAAAAAACTTAACATTTATGAAACACTTAAATTTTCTAAAGACCACACATACATACATACATACATGCATACATACATATATACACATATATAATCATATCCAATCCTCTCAACAATCTTATGAGCTAGATGCTATTATTATCCCAGTTTTATAAATGGAAAACTGAAGCTGAGGGGGAGTAAATAACTTGGCCAGGGCCACCCAGATGCTAATTGCCTCAGGCAAGATTAGGACTCAGGTCTTACTGAGTTTATCATTCTCTTGACTAATCATCTAGAAACATAACAGGTAAGCCATGGGATTTACTGGTTCAAATATCCCAAGTCATCTCATCAGCCTTTCAAAACTTCACTCTCCTAACCCATTCTAGAACATAGGATGATAGGATCATGGGCACAGAGCTAAAAGGAGCCCCAGAGGTATATATAGTCAAGCCTCTTCATTTTATTGATGAGGGAAAGATAACCTTTATACAGAAGATCATACCTGAAAAGGGAATGATGTTGTTAAAAGACAGTCATGTTTGGATTGCCATTGCTATTGTTGAATTATTTCAGTCACGTCCAACTCTTAGTGACCCCTTTTGGGGGTTTTCTTGGCAAAGACACTGGAGTGGTTTGCCATTTCCTTCTCTAGTTCTTTTACAAATGAAGAAACTGAGGCAAACAGGATTAAGGGACTTGCCCAGCATCACACAGCTAGTGTATGAGGCCATATTTGAACTCAGGAAAATGTCTTCCTGATTCCAAGACTGTTACTCTATCCATTGTGCCACTCAGCTGTCATGTTCACAGGTACATTCCTACTAAGCAATCAACCAGCATTTATTAAGCATCTTGTATGTGCTGGGCACTTCCTAGATGCTGGAGATAGAAATACAAAAATGAAATAATCATCACCCTTAAGAAATTAGCATTCCATTGGGAAAAATAACTCACAGACATAAGTAGCTACAAAATATACAAAGTATAGTAGGCCACTCATGAAACAAGAATGAGAGAGCAATAGATGCACAGCTTGAGCATTATATTGGTAGTCTCATGCCCTCTTTATCAGCTTCAATATATTCTGTACCTAGTTTGTACATAATTATTTTTTTTTTGTTTCTCTTTCTTTTTTTTTTTTGTTTCAGATTTTCTCCCATTACACTGTCAGCTCTTTGAGAGGAGGGACAATTGTTGGTCTTTCTTTGCATCTCTGAGTGTCTGGGTACATAAGAACCTCATCATCCTGGAAGATCAAATCTGTTCTGATGGTCACATCTCAGCAGCACTCTCTGTCCCTGGGACCATTATGATGGGAGGTCAGAGTGGAGGGATCCTACAGAATTCTCCTTTTAAGAAGGGTCATTTGAATATCTCACATGCCTCCACCCACACCTTATCAGCTTCCTGTTATGTGATGTCTTTCCACGTTAGAATACAAGATCTTTGAAGGCAGAGATTATCTTTTTTTTTCTTACTTGTATAGCACAGTGCTGGAACTGTAGTAAGCATTTAATAAATGTTTATTAACTAATGGACATAGAAGACATAAATAAATGTCTATTGACTGACAAGCAATGTTAAAAGATTATTGGATGGGTCATTCCAGTATACTGGAAAGGTTATTTATAAAGGCATAGACAAGAATTTTACAATATGAGATGTCAGGGATTGCAGTCTGGAATATCCACAATGAAGAAATCATGGATCTATCTGAGTAAATAGCTGCATTTTTTTTTCTTATAAGAGCTATGTGGGATTTGCAAAAGATCCACAATTAATTCCTTCCATGCTGAACGCAATAAAGGTAAAATAGTTGTTGTTTCTGTTGTATGAAATGGCAAAAAATAAAGCCAGTATACAGTGAACTGAAACCATTTTCAAGATAATCTGGACTTCAGAACACAAATATTGTGCAAGCTTGAGTGCTAGAGATACCTTGGAATGAAAGAATATATAATCATTTAGAGATCATACCGGATTCTTAAATTTAAATTAAAAAAATACTTATAATTGTTCCTTGTGTACTGTAGTAAAGTCCAGTCTTGGGGTCAGAACAACCTCAATTCAAGCCCCACCTCTGACACAACATAATTGTGTGATCCTAGGCAAATCACCTAACCTTTCAGCTTTCTAGACAACTTCTTAAGACTATAATTTGTAGGAAAGGATTCCAGCTGAATTGGAAAAAGAGACTTCCTCTTTTGAGAATTCCCAGTATGGTCATGGATGTGGTATCACATATTTAACAATAAACCCTCCAGGGAGAAAATGTATGTATAACACACCTTGCAATTAAAACTACATTATTAATATTTTCAGGCAGCTAGATGGCACCATGTCTGGAGTCAGGAAGACTCATCTTCAGAGTTCAAACCTGACCTCAAACACTTGCCACTTGTGTAACCCTGGGCAAGTCACTTAACCCTATTTGCCTCAGTTCCTTATCCAGAAAATGAGTTGGAAAAGGAAATAGCAAACCACTTCTATATCTTTGCCAAGAAAACTCCAAATGGGGTCACAAAGTGTCAGACACCATTGGAAAATGACCAAACGACAATTAATATTTTCTCTATCATTTTCTCACAGCCAGGCAATCAACAAAACATTAAATCAAGCCCTGCTATGTAGTATCTACCAATTTCTGAGGATAAATGCTCACACTGAAAATTTAACAATTGGCTTTCACAAGTATATTTCAAGTGACTTCAGCACACTTTTTCCTGTAGCAGTGAAATCACAGGTCCCATTAATTCAGCAATGTTGCCTACTGTTACAGTGAG